GAATTAGCAGATTCCTACCGGTGAGATATTGGCAATTAGCAGATTCCTACCAGTGAGATATTGGCAATTAGCAGCATTCCTAGGGTTTAGATTGATACTGTCGATTCCAACAGGGTACTTCTCTGAAATCCGATTCCTACAGGTAACATTTTTACCAGAGCTCATCCATAGGGGGGGTGCGGATAATAAATGGAATGACCCATCACATATAGATTAACACAACACAAAATATAAAAAATAGGATATTATCATGTTATAAAGTGCAAGCACGACTATTTAAACAGAACGAGTGTAATATTACATACAATATATTATGCACATACCTTTTGACATTTCTTCTGTATATTTATATATAAACCATGAAAAAACAAGAAATAAAAATATAAAACATCGAAATTAATAAACTCACTCAACAACAATAAACTCACTTCCTCATTCGGAAATAAAGACGGCCTGTTCGCAGGCAACTGTTCCTCTTGAGATCTTCTGCATAAATTATAATTGTAAGAAAATGGTAGGCATTCAGCCTATTTTAGGTTCACTTTTAAAACAAACAAAAGGACGAATCATAAACGAATCTATCTAGCAATTAAATTCACAATGTCACTTCACTGCAATTGCAGTAATTGATTGAAGCATTTATTTCGTCATTAATTAAAATTAATTGCGTCACAGAGGTCTCTGTAACGTCACTAATTTGCAAAGCGCGCGACGTTTTGTGCGCTTTCCCGTGCTTTTCGACCGCCGTGGTTTCGGAGACGCGAAGAAATACAAAACTAAATTTCCGAGATGCAATACACGAGAAAATATTTCGTAGGAGGTATTTCGTACAGGTAAATGTCAACGAACTGTCAACAATACTATGTCGATACTGTCTTCTTTATCATCAGTCGATACTGTCTTCTTTATAATCAGGGGCGAATCTAGCCTCATCTGCAAGGAGGGGTGCAGGTTTTCCAAGGGGGGGGGGGCATGAGGGAGCCTTATTGCCCACTCTCCTCTGCAGTCTGCAACGCTACTAGCCCAACATTACCATTATTTGAGATGGCCGAATCTGCATGTTCGCCGTTCTGTTACGTTTTACATTATCTTTCGTTTATAAAGTTTATATCACGTATGCGTGACTGGACAGTTGCTGTAGCACAGTACAGTAAAGTTGCTTGTTAAAGTATAGCATACTTGAAAATATGGCTATATAACAACCTTGACATGCTTACATATTTAACCATGAAATTTAATTAAAAGCATTCGGAGTACTTTCCCGTGAGCTCGCAAATCGATTAAATCGTTTCGAGGAATCGACACGCGCTAACAGTAGTTGAGCTAATCGCTATTCGAAAAGCAGAAAATGTATGGTCCAGCAGATTTTTTTAGGGTGGTGCTGGACTTCTATATGGGGGTGTTAGACACCACTAAGCTGGGTGCGCACCTCCCTCTCCCCCACTGCCCCCCCCCCCTGCAACCCCACGGCAGATCCGCGCTCTGCATTTGCATGACAATAAACAGGTCAAAAACTTTTTGGTAGGAATCCAAATTTGACGGCTTCCATTTCCAGGTGTATACCATATATATCTGTTTTGTTTTGTGGAAGACACGACGTACATTTAGTTGGCAAAAGCGCCGACGCTTGCATTCCGTGGTAGGTTCTTCAACAGTGCAAAAAATATAAGAATCATCGCCATCATGATGATCATCGCCATATTCGAAGAATAATATATAATAGGTCTAGAGATGCCACGGTCAACATGGCTTGAATATTCTAATTAGCACTCGCTTGAGGGCTTCATATTTACGTCTTCTTGTACAAAAATTTTGTCTGCATATGTCATCTGAAAAAAAAATATATATAGTCAAAGATGAAACAGTGACTGCACGAAAGATGAGTGCCTTTCAAAATAATTTAAGTAAGTGTTTTGAGTTTGCAAGCAAAGTCTGTAAGCTGTGAAATAGTCTGTGAATTTGTCAGTTCGATATTGTTGTCAATGAGCTACACACGCGTGAAAACGCACAAGTTGTTACAGGCCTGCAAACAATTAGTTATTACAAATCTGTTCACAAGCTGTCGACAAGTTGTGTTCGCACTGCTTGTTCCCAGTTGTTGTGACAAGTTTGGAACAAGCTGTTAACAACTTGTAACAAGCCTGATGGCATTATCAGACTTGATACAAAGTTGTTCTAACAAATCTGATACAGCTATGAGATAGCAAGAATGTTACAAAGTTGACTACACAAGGTTGTAACAATACTGTTATATCATGACTGTATCGGACTTGTTGGAACAACCTTGCAACAAGCCTGATAATATCAACAAGGTTGTTACAAGTTTTTAACAGCTTGTTCCATATACTACTTGTTGATAACTTTGGGCAAGTGTGCGAACACAACTTGTTGACGGCTTGTCGGCAGACTTGCTACAAGATGTGAGATCTTTGCGGGTATATAAGTATCATCCAAAAACAATTAATCAAAAAATAAATGGTGGCATCAACCGATTACCCCATCAATGAATTATTCCATCATTCAATCAATCGATCGAATGTTAGTATAAAAGGCCTGCATACCTTTCAGAGTTAATGAAGGATTGTAACTCGTTAATGACCGAGCTTTCAACGGACGCCATCATGGCTTGAAAATTTTGGTCCCCATAAGCCTGTTGGCATTGCCGTAACGTATCTCGAACGAATAATGTTAGTTTGACTGTATAGACAGGATCTTTGGCGTTTAACTGAAGAAAAAATAAAAGCATGTGGCTACTAGGTATTTGTATTTCTCAATAAACCTATTCGGCGAACGAGTGCGTGCTACCCAATACCCATGGCTACTCGATTTTAACTACACACGTAAAAACGCACAAGTTGTTCCAGGTCTGCAAACAAGTTGTTACAAATCTGTTCACAAGCTGTCGACAAGTTGTGTTCGCACTGCTTGTTCCCAGTTGTTGTAACAAGTTTGAAACAAACTGTTAACAACTTGTAACAAGCTTGATGGCATTATCAGACAAGCTTGTTTCAAGGTCGTTCTAACAAGTCTGATACAGTCAAGGTATAACAAGAATGTTACAAATTGATGACACAAGGTTGTAACAATATTACATGACTGTATTGGACTTGTTGGATAAGGCCGATAACAGAATGTGTTCGCACTGCTTGTTCCCAGCTTCTTGACAACTTGCTACAAGGTTGTTGAGCTCAACAGACTTGTTACAAGTTGTTCCAACAACTTGTTATCGTTCTGCAATTCAACAATTTGTCAACAAGTTGTGAGTGACAACCTTGTAGCAACTTGACAATAATTACAGCATTGTTACAACTTGTTGACAAGCTTGCTGCAAGATAATCTGCGATCAGGCTCTCCAAGAACGCCTGATCGCAGGTTAGCTACAAGCCTGTTGCAAACACACCTTTTTGATAAGATTTTGCGCGTGTAAACACGTAAAAACGCACAAGTTGTTGCAAGTCTGCAAACAAGTTGTTACAAATCTGTTCACAAACTGTCGACAAGTTGTGTTCGCACTGCTTGTTCCCAGTTGTTGTAATAAGTTTGGAACAAGCTGTTAACAACTTGTAACAAGCTGATGGCATTATCAGACCTGTTACAAGGTTGCTCTAACAAGTCTTAATACAGTCACGATATAACAAGAATGTTACAAGGTTGACGACACAAGGTTGTAACAATATTGTTATATCACGAATGTATGGAACAACCTTGCAACAAGTCTGATAATATCAACAAGGTTGTTACAAGTTGTTAACAGCTTCTTCCAAACTTGTTGACAACTTGGGACAAGCAGTGCGAACACAACTTGTCGACGACTTGCTGGCAGACTTGCTACAAGAGGTGAGATTATTGCGTGCGTATAGGTGGCTCAATCTAACCTCCTTGCGTCGCAAATGTTCTTGGGAGTCATAATCTTCTTCGTCTTCATCATCATCTGAATTCATCAGTAAATAACTGCAGAGGAAAAAACTATCATGTACACAATATCATGTTCCCCGAATGAACAATTTGCTGTTAGGTCTGACATACAATATACAAACTTTCTTATACACAAGTAAAAACGCACAAGTTGTTACAGGTCTGCAAACAAGTTGCTACAAATCTGTTCACAAGCTGTCGACAAGTTGTGTTCGCACTGCTTGTTCCCAGTTGTTGTAACAAGTTTGGAACAAGCTGTTAACAACTTGTAACAAGCTTGATGACATTATGAGACTTGTTGCAAGTTTGTTCTAACAAGTCTGATACAGTCATGATATAACAAGAATGTTACAAGGTTGACGACAAAAGGTTGTAACAGTACTGTTATATCATGACTGTATCCGACTTGTTGGAACAACCTTGCAACAAGCCTGATAATATCAACAAGGTTGTTACAAATTGTTAACAGCTTGTTCCAAACTTGTTGACAACTTGTTGACGGCTTGTTGACAAACTTGTTACAAGATGCGAGATTTTTTCAAAATTCAACTCCTGCCGAAAATCCAAAATTTCCGTAGAAAGATTATACTTACTCTGATGGGTAGGTGTCGCCTTTATTCAATTCGTTAAGAACATCAACGGCTATCTCAATAATTACAGCAAAGCGACTGTGTATAACTCTATACCAAAACAACAAGACAAATAGTTCAGCGAACGAAAAAAGGAATAAAGCTACAAATACTATAGTCACTCACTCTTGTTTGAAAGGAAGAAGTGAACATAGCGCCATAGTTGTAAGTTTTCTTCGCTCTGTTTTGGAAATTGAATCCATCTGAACAAAATAAATGCTCCCATAAATTCTTTTAAAAGATGAGAATATTTTGTATGTTACGTAACACACGTTCTTTAAAACTAATGAATATGGTTATGACTATATTCAATATTTTTAATAATTTTTGATCAATAATGCTAAAATGAAGAGATTTTAGATGGTACGCCAAAGAGAAAATGAGGTCTGAAGTTCAGTAAGTTTTGCTTATATTGCTGTATAAATATGGCGTCAATTTTACAACATCAATAATAATTGTATTTAACAATTTAAATATTCAACTATTTTGTGTTTTTCAACCGCCAGATACATTTACTGTAAAAAAGTAAAATAACAATATGCAAACATTGGTGCCAAATAATGAAAGTTTCTGAAATTGTTCTGATATTTGGACCATTAATAAAACACATAATAAATTTCTCGCCCATGAACTCGAAATGCGTTTAAACTGTTAAATTTAGCGCCAAACTATTTTTAATGCTGCAAAAATAGCCCCCCCCCTGATCTGGAAAATTTATCTTCACGAAAACGTTTTATTTATTCTACATTATAAGTACCCAAACAATCTATATTTATCAAACATTTCATGAAGTGAACGGATTTGTGAAATTGAGAGCCGTTTCAAAATTGTCTACTTTTTTTATATACCCTGTAGTTGCATTTTTCGCAGTTGTTCCTGGTTAGGTCTACGAAAATGTATATAATTTTCCATTCCATAATTTCCATCTACAATACCCTTCAACCAGGGACGTAGCGACCGGGGGGGTGTAACCTCCCCCCCCAATTGTGAAACTCAAGCAAAAATCAGGTAAAATTCAAGTTAAAATTTTGTCATTTTCAGGTAAAATTTGCGTAATAAAGTAATTATTTTGGTGAAATGATAACCATTTTGGTAAAATACAGTCAATTCAATTCACATCCAATTTGTTTGCGAATTTGCTTTAGAAAATGCCAAAAATGCAGTCCTAGAGCTTCAAAAATGTAAAAATTTTCTGGGGGTCTGTCTGGGGGTCCTCAGACCCCCCTTTTCTCCAGAAACTTAGTATGACAGTGCGAATCAATCACAAAAAGCTTTATTATAATTATTACACTCCAGGCAAATTTTTTACATTGAAATTCTAATTTCAGGTAAAATCCTCCGCCCCCCCCCCCCCCCCCCCCCAACTTCAGATGCTTCACTACAGGTACGTCCCTGCTTTCAACTAATATTCAATCAAGTGGGATGCCAGCGAAATCTTGATATTTAATTGTAATTATTCACGTTACTTACTCGTTCAAGCCAAGAATCCAAAAATACACCGATCAAGTCGTTAGCCTTAAAAATAAAGTTCAATCCATTATTTTTATCGAAGGAAAAAGTATTTTCTTATAACCAGTTACATTGACGCGATTTATATATTTACCTAAGAACTTACCGATTTCCCATATTGTTCGGCGAGCATTTGAACAAAACTGTCAAAATTCGGCTTGTTTTTTAATAGCATAACAGCAAACAGAGATACGTAGATTGCCAGCAATGGACCATACTCCTATAACAGTCATGAAATTCTATGTTATTTACTGCTGTGCGACTGTTGTTATCCACGTTTGACGATTTGACTCTTCCTGGACCTTCAGAGAACTGATAGATTAGAACTGATAGAGCTATCCAGTATAAATAAAGTTAGTTTAGTTTAGGTTTCCTCCTGTAGTAACACTGGATCAATAAGAGATGATCCTTACTGGATCTCTAGGGAGAACAGTTTAGAACTGATAGAATTATGCAGTATACATAAAGTTAGTTTAGTTCAGGTTTCTTCCTGTAGTAACACTGGATCAATAAGAGATGGTCCTTACTGGAGCTCTAGGAATAACAGTTTAGAACTGATAGAGCTATCCAGTATAAATAAAGTTAGTTTAGTTTAGGTTTGCTCCTGTAGTAGTACTGGATCAATAAGAAATGATCCTTACTGGAGCTCTAGGAAGAACAGTTTAGAACTGATAGAGCTATCCAGTATAAATAAAGTTAGTTTAGTTTAGGTTTCCTCCTGTAGTAGTACTGGATCAATAAGAGATGATCCTTACTGGAGCTCTAGGAAGAACAGTTTACAACTGATAGAGCTATCCAGTATACATAAAGTTAGTTTAGATATCCTCCTGTAGTAACACTGGATCAAATTAGAATTAGAACTGATGGAGCTATCCGGTATATTTTTATCTTACCTGTCCATCAACAACTGCCTGAAATATTTTTGGTAAAACAGACTCGAATAATCTTGGTCCTTCGACGGGAAACATTCGAAACACAACCTCGATGATCTAAAGTTGGATAAATTGCACTGATTACCCTAGCCACACCCATGGATGGCGCTAGAGGGGGCTGTAGGGAGTAGACCCCCCCCCCCACCTCAACAGCCTATAGAAATTCAGACGAGTTGGTTTTTCATGAAACAGTTTCATTCTCGAAACAGTTGTTGCGGATGGTTAGCATCAGTTTCCATCGTTGAGGGCCTTGAGGCAGTCATTTGAAATCTTCCTCAGAACCGAGGAAATGCCATTTCAGAGATTTGGACCCCTCCCCCCCCCCAGAACTCTGTATAGTTCACAACAGTCAAGAAAAGTCGACAGATCGGACAGTTTTTATTGTGAAAGTGAAGATCTTTGCGTAATCCGCGTATATGCAATGTAAGTTATCTAAAGTTTAGTAAATGTGCGCGACATATGCTAATCAGGACCAAACTAATGACTCGGCAAAATTATACCTCACACCACCCCCTCCCCATTCATAGAACTTACCCTCGCCAACATCAAGTTTCCTTCGGCTTTGAGGGTTCCCAGTATATTATTGCACGTGCTTACAATAAGATGACCCCAAGCCTGAAAACATTATCAAGAAATGGCATTTCATAAACGTTTACAAAGTCAGAAAATTTGTGAATTTGAAAAAATACTGCTCTCTTTACCTGTAGAAATTCGAGACCACCCAGCAGTATATAAGATTCGATTATCGAGAAACTTGTTCTTAAATTCTCTGAACTTAATTCTAAACAAACATGGTATATACTTAATCCAGTACAGTATATGACAGATCCATCAGTATTTCACTGATTATGAAAATGAGCCGATGGGATCAGGTCTAGTTCATTCAGCTAAGAATCAGGAAGCCGCAACTTACCCAAGAGATGAGGCATATTATTAAACAGATGCAGTAGTTCTGGCGTCATTGAAGAGGCGCATTTCAAGGTACTTGACCTAAAGTATGAAACACAACGAAAACAAGACAATAAAACGTAACTTATTGTACACTAAAAGCAGGGCTCGTACATGTAGAGTCAAATTCAAGGACTTTTCAAGGACATTCAAGGCCATGTATCAGCAAATTCAAGCCGAAATACCGAAGAGAAGGGGTTAGAAATCAGTAAAATGTGACGTTGAATTGTTCAAAACGCAACTTTGATGAGTTTCAAACAGCTTTGTCAGATATGAACATGCAAAATCAATTCAACAAAATGTCCGTTTTGAATGTCAAACAATTTCAGAAAATATCCATAAACTAAAGCAAGATAAATGCAAGGACTTTCAAGTACTTCTTTACAAATTCCAAGACATTCAAGGCCTATTCGATCAACTTTGAACTGGTTGAAAATTTTGACAAGAGTTGACGAGAGTTTTTGCTCCTCTCGCGATAATATCCAATCAACACTCATCAACTTTGAGCTGGTCAAATTTTGATGAGAGTTGTTGAGAGTTTCTACCACACGAGCAATAATATCCAGTCAACTTGCATCAACTCTCATGCAACTCATGTTCTCGTTTGACTGAGGCACGAGACTGCAGGGCCGTCGCTAGAGGTGGGGGACCCCCACCCCACCCCACCCCACCCCCATCGGCAAATTATTGAATGCCAGCCGGCAAATTGTTTGCGTGGTCGGCAAAACATGAATTGGATAGGAAAGAAAAAACTAAAATATTTGAGTGACACTGATTAAAAACTAATAATTATACCTAAAATTTGGAGAAATTTACGAAAATATTAAGGAAAAATTTAACGAATAACGGTACGTTAACCCAAAAGAAAGTGAAAATATAAAGTCCGGAAATTATGTCCAGGCCCTTCGTCCCCCCCCCCAAAAAAAACATTTTGGGAAAAGAAATATTAATTAGATGTTGAGATAAATCGGCAAAAATTTACATACCCCACCCACCCCCACCGCACGAGAAGTGAGAAAACTCTGACGCAAACTTTCGCTTGCTAACTCTCATCAACTCTCTTAATACTTTGACAGCCAGTAGCGTAGTCAGCTCGACGATTAGTCCCGCTATGCGAATATTTTCGTGTAAATTGACTGTGAAAACAATCAATTTCTGAAGAAATGAATGATGATAATAATATGCTTGTGATGTCACTCTGAGTGTATATCCACACCGGGCATGCTTGAAAAATATGCCTGGCCATGGTGGGAATCGAACCTACGACCTTTCCAAAGGTCGTAGGTTCGATTCCCACCGTGGCCAGCCATATTTTTCAAGCCTGCCCGGTGTGGATATACACTCAGAGTAACGTCACAAGCATCTTATTCACCTGAGTACATTACACCAAAAGAGCAAATATAATGATAATTTTGAATTTGCATAGCATGCCTGTCAGATGTTGGGATCCTAGGTAGTGGCACTACCTGCAAGTGCCTGAAGCTAACTGCAATGCTTGGTCAGAAGGTCTTACGCATGCTTAAGTAGAGATTTCAATTTTTCCGAATACATTTTGCAATATTTACCAACCAGATTTAATAAGAGTCATACTCAAGACGTAAATTCATCAAATGATGCCATCAAAAACTTAAAATTCCCTGTTCTGTGACCGAATTTTATTCATCAGCCGACAATCTTGTCTGCTTGATATGTGAAAATTTTCGAGCAATTGGGTTTGAGCACAGATTTAACTGCAAATATTTTTTGGCTACCTGCAAAAAAACTAAATATACAGGCATGTTGCATAGCGGGACTAAATTGTCGGGCTGGCTACGTCACTGTTGACAGCTGGGTAGAATATGAATGGAACAAAATATCTAAAGAGCATATACAGTACCACAGTTCCAATCCATCTTCTAACAGGTACACGTGTGGTGGCTGGAATAAATGCAGTTTAGTAAGTTATTCCAAGAAATACAAAAAAAACCCCACTAAATAACTTTTAGTATCAACGACCTAAAGCCTTACCTGACCAACATCAGTGCTCAGTTGGATAACTGGGGTTAAGAAAGGATAGAGATAAACGGACTCTGACCCTAGACCCTAAAGTGGCAAAAAGACGCATTAGAATCCAAATTTGTTGTGCTTCGAATCACAAACTAGCTAAATCTATAAATTACAGTACGACAAAAATACAACACAATACGCAGAAAACAAAGACTCTAGTTACATTTTAGCACAAAATAGGGTAGTCTTGGCATATCAATGACCAATTGCTGCCTAGCACAAGTCTTGACAAGAAGTGACAATAATTAGCCATCACATCCACAAATTATTTGACGTTTTATTTAAATTACATTTAAACGAAACTCTGCTTAAAGACTTAAATAATTCATCAACAGCATTCCAGGTTTTTGGAGCAATAAATCTCAGTAATATTAAAATTTCCATAGTTAGTCCGAGTTGATCATCTACCATCATCACGACCATCATCATCAGTACCATTGCAACACCACTACCATCATCATCACGACCATCATCATCAGTACCATTGCAACACCACTACCATCATCATCACGACCATCATCATCAGTACCATTGTAACACCACGACCATCATCATCAGTACCATTGTAAAACCACTACCATCATCATCAGTACCATTGTAAAACCACTACCATCATCATCAGTACCATTGTAAAACCACTACCATCATCATCAGTACCATTGTAAAACCACTACCATCATCATCAGTACCATTGTAAAACCACTACCATCATCATCAGTACCATTGTAAAACCACTACCATCATCATCACCATATCAACATTACTACCATCTAATCCATCATGACTATAATTATGTAGCAGATACAATAGATCTCATGCACACTCTACCTTAACTATAAAAGTGAGAGTAGTAAGAATCGAACATCGTAGCATATTGTGTTCTTCGGATTCAATCCATAGTTTGGGAAGATACCCAGCTAATGATGCGACGTATGGCCTGATCTAAAAGTCATTGAAACATAAAACATTTAAACCTAATTGATACTGAATAACTCTGTCAATTCTAAAGTGTTCTCCATGCAGGTCTAGTATACGAGCCATCTTTTATTGATCCAGTGACAGGAGGAAACCTAAACTAAACTAACTTTATTTATACTGGATTCTTCCTAGAAGTCCAGTAAAGATCATCTCTTATTGATCCAGTGTTACTACAGGAGGAAACCTAAACTAAACTATTAAACTTTATTGATACTGGATAGCTCTATCAGTTCTAAACTGTTCTTCCTCGAGGTCCAGTAAGAATAATCTCTTATTGATCCAGTGTTACTACAGGAGGAAACCTAAACTGAACTAACTTTATTGATACTGGATAGCTCTATCAGTTCTAAACTGTTCTTCCTCGAGGTCCAGTAAGAATCATCTCTTATTGATCCAGTGTTACTACAGGAGGAAACCTAAACTAAACTAACTTTATTGATACTGGATAGCTCTATCAGTTCTAAACTGTTCTTCCTCGAGGTCCAGTAAGAATCATCTCTTATTGATCCAGTGTTACTACAGGAGGAAACCTAAACTGAACTAACTTTATTGATACTGGATAGCTCTATCAGTTCTAAACTGTTCTTCCTCGAGGTCCAGTAAGAATCATCTCTTATTGATCCAGTGTTACTACAGGAGGAAACCTAAACTAACTTTATTTATACTGGATAGCTCTATCAGTTCTAAACTGTTCTTCCTCGAGGTCCAGTAAGAATCATCTCTTATTGATCCAGTGTTACTACAGGATGAAACTTTTGCGACAGACGAGAAGCTGTGGTGTTTGGTAGAGTCAAACTGAAAGCATTCTTTCACATATGACCCAGGTAAAATTATAATCAGACAATGCAGGAAGGCGCAAGTACTGTCACTGCGCTACCAACAGAAGACTTGTAATTCCAGGAATTTTTTATAATGTTCTACAACTATGTTAAGGTTACAGAACACCTTTGAGTGTTAATTTTGCCTAAAAAATTTTTATTGGTTTCAATGAAAGCATTAGACTAGTTCTACTATCTGACCAAGTTTGAACGAAAAATGTTGAAAACTCGCAGAGTTATTTAATAAAATACATTTCGCTGCAATAAGAAAAACATTGAAAATGTAATATTCAAATTCAATTTTCTCACGAAAAATTTTACGGTAATTACTGATTTTCAAACGAGTTGTGCTCCTGCGGGTTTTAACCATTTTTTCTCAAATTTTCACAGGACATAGCTAAATACGTCAGTTTCAAAATTGTGTTCGGCTTTTTTTTAATTTTGGATATTTTAATAATAAAGAGCAATTCACTGAAACAATTCAGAAATATATTGCAGTCGTCAAAGAAATCGCCATATCAGCGGAATGACGAAATAAACAAAAAATTCCGAACACAATTTTTTAGAACAACTATTTTACTGTATAAAAATGATATTTTCATAAATATAACTTAAAACCAGCAGGAGCACAACTCAAAAGCGTAAAGGTACCGCGATTTAAGATTTTTCTGAATAATTCTTACATTATTTTATTGTTTGTTAATTTTACAACTTTACCATATTTTGCATGCACTGGCGAACATTTGGTGAAAATGTGATGAAAATCGGACTGATATTGAGCGCGCAGTAGCGATTTTCCGCAAAACGCCAAAAAGGGTGTCCTGTAACCTTAACTCAAATTTGAAGTTTTGGGGATGATCATATATAAAAACAAACTCTTAAACTGTTTCACTTTCCTAGATTGGTTGTATCTCATTTGTAAACAACTACACAGCTTCCATAAGCATCAAATACAAAACATCAAGTATGTAAAACATATCATTTTTGTCATTACAGGTTGTGGAAACTTGTGTCTCCTGATTGGCTAAAGCTATTCGCTAAAATCTAACAGTAAATTATAAAGTAAAATGACCTGTTCTACTTTGCAGATGACATGTGGAAAATATGTTTGAAGAATTTTGTGTTGATGCCATCTCCCCATTGTGAAGAAGGGAGTCAGAATACATTCAGCATTAAAACTGAACAGATGCTTTGTCCAATAACAGATGCTATCTTAGTTCGACTTGTTCTTAGACAACCATCACCTCACTGGCTAAACTTTTCTGTTGGTAGTCTCTGTTTCTCACCACCACTTAAGGTAATGGTGCCTAACAGATGGGTTTTACTAATCTTGAAAGATAGGAGGAATGTAGGGTGAGGCGGTTAATTGATAAACCAGAAGAAAAAAACGATGTTTCTTAAAAACCAATTTAAACATCTAACGCACTCGAGCTTAAGCAAGCAATTCTCTGGAGAGTGTAGCTCTGTTGGAGAGGTTCCGGCTGCTTAGTTTACTCGGCGAGCACAACTAACTATATGCACCTACCGACCAAAGGAGAACCAAAGAACGCTGGATAACGCAGGATACCAATCTAAAAGAAATCATCCGGACTAGCCGGGGAGCAAAGCCTGACGAGCGGGTGCGGCATAATGCAAGTAACGAACACAACACCGGGCATTTCTAGCAAGGTTGACAAAAAGGACTACCCCCACCATTTACGCTGTGCCAAGGACACACACAACAGACAATAAGCGCTTCACGGACAGACATAAGGACTAATGGTGAGGGGACAAACGAACGTATAAGCAGACGAACAAATCACGAAATTAAATATGCTGATGCACAGATACACACATCGGCAAGCAGCCGAACACCCGGCAAGCAGCCGGACGGGGAGGGGTCAATAGCCCGAGATCGAGCAAACAGCCAGAGGGGGGAGCAGGCAGGCAGCCCAAGGGGCCGGCAAGCAGCCGGAGGTAGGCCGGCAAGCAGCCAGCGAGCGCAGACAAGCAGCCTGAAAACAAAAACCCGGCAAGCAGCCAGCGCCACCGCATGCAGTGCCAACGCAGGCAGGGGGGAAACACTATCGGGTGGGTGGGAAATCAAGTGCACAGTGTTAGAAGCAGTATGCAAGTGAGCACAGCCCGTGAGCACAGCAAATGGCAAACTTTCGCCCGCTGACAACAGACTGCTTCTGATTGGTCAATGAAATTGAACCCTGTATAAATGCATAATTTACATATTTTAACGACCCACATCACAACTCGTGCTTGATGTTAATTATTTTTATTGCATAAACACGTTTAACTGATATTGTTCTTGGCAAAAAAAAACCCAGAAAAAATTAGGAAAGAAACTGTTTGAAACTCAGTAATATTGAAACAGAATGATACCTTGTCAAACTAGTTTAACGTTTCCTTAACAAACTTCCAACTTTCAAACATTAAAAATGTCAGAATATTAAGGCAGTACTGTAGTAACTATACCATTAATACAATTGTCTTTAAAACTAAAGTCTCGAACATGTAGCATGAAGTTCAATCTAACTGTGGTATATTTTGACATAAGTTGTAAAAATCGTTTTTCGGACGTGTTGTTTACCCTGATTTCTAAAAGAATGGCATGAAAATTATTTGCAATAATATTTTAGATCATTTCTCATCTTACGGACATTCTTTCATCAAACATGGAAGATCAACATGCTGATGAGCAACAGGTATTTATGTCAAATTTGGTGAAGTGTTCGTTCCACCAATGAGTGATGCATTCCAATATGTCATACCCATTCTTCTATTTTACCTTAAAGGCCTGGTTCATTTACTTTTGTACCACTCCAAACTGTTACTCGTGTACTCCAAGGAGATCCCTAAATAATTAGTTTAATTTACTCTTTCTTACAAAGGAAGAGAATGAAAGAGTTGTGGATATCGCCAGCAAACTTCAACAGATGTGGGCTCTAACTGAGGCTACAGCTGAGAGTGAATTCACAGATGAACAAAATCACTTTGATGTAAGTGAATTTTTAGCAATGCTGTGAAATGATTTATCTATAATAATTGAACCTGTCTATTGCATCTCTGTATTAAGGATACCTCTCTAATATGGACACCTCTTTAATATGGACACCTCTTTAATACGGACATCTCTCTAATACAGACTCTTCCTGATATGGACACCTCTCTAGTAAGGACACCTCTCTAATATGGACACCTCTCTAATACGGACACCTCTCTAATACGGACACCTCTCTAATATGGACACCTTTCTAATTCAGATACCTTTCTAATAAGGACACCTCTCTAATACGGATACCTCTCTAATAAGGACGCCTCTCTAATACGGATACCTCTCTAATATGGATACCTCTCTAATTTGGATACCTCTATAATACGGACATCTCTCTAATACAGACTCTTCTCTAATATGGATACCTCTCTAATATGGACACCTCTCTAATACGGACACCTCTCTAATACAGATACCGTTCTAATAAGGACACCTCTCCAATACAGACACCTTTCTAATAAGGACACCTCTCTAATACGGATACCTCTCTAATTTGGATACCTCTATAATACGGACATCTCTCTAATACAGACTCTTCTCTAATATGGATACCTCTCTAATATCGACACCTCTCTAATATGGACACCTCTCTAATACAGATACCTTTCTAACAAGGACACCTCTCTAATACAGATACCTTTCTAATAAGGACACCTCTCTAATACGGATACCTCTCTAATTTGGATACCTCTCTAATACGGACATCTCTCTAATACAGACTCTTCTCTAAATGGATACCTCTCTAATATGGACACCTCTCTAATACGGACATTTCTCCGACATGGACACCTCTCAAATACGACACTTGTCTAATACAACACCTCTCAAATACGACACCTCTCTTATGCAGACTTTAATACAGAGATCTCTAGCCAGTTTCCAACGTCCGGACAAAATTCTCACTTAAAAATGACTGCTATAATACGGACCTTCCCTAATACACCACCTCATCTCCAGGGAGCAAATACATAACAGACACTCTAATTTTGTAGATTGATGGATGTTATGATCTTAACTTGTTGTCATACACATAAACACCATAAACACCGCTACAATTAAGGTAGGATTTTTTTAAAAACCTTTTTGTAGAAACATAACTTGAATGTTCTAAACTGTCTTCCCTAAAGGTCCAGTAAGGAATATTGATCGTGTGTTACTACAGAAAAACAAACTAAACCAACTTTATTTATACTGGATAGCTACATTATTTTCCCTAGAGGTCCGGTAAGGATTATCTCCGAGACGTATTAGGACGTAGACTTATACTAGCTGGATAGCTCTATTGCACTTTTTAAGCCTGTTCCCTGTAGAGGTCTAGTAAGGACTTTTTAAAATCTTCTTGAACACCAGAAATTATAATTTAAGAATTTATATTTAATTTAACTCTATCATATTTACACTATAAATGTTATATCGTAATCGTATACATCTACTATAATATAACTATATAAATACATTCAAATGAAGATACATTGTTTGGAGCAACCTCTTGGTGTCTTTGAAAGACGTTTCGACTATCATTCACATTGTATCACACACTTTCATCAACGCAAAATTAACAAACAGTCTCGGATTTCAGCTGTTCTTATTAACATTAAAACATGTTAGATGTTGCTCATTATACAAAGTATTAATAGCTCTGGGACCGAATCACATGCAGCTATACTCATTCAAAAAACAAGAACAACCGAGTTTTTCAGGTTTGCCAAACCGGTTTTAGACCGGAATAAAGCAGACGTATTTTCTCAGACGATATTTCATCTTTTTCCTGCACTTGAGTGTGGCTCTAATGGCGCTGTCAAAGACCTCATTCACGCCTTCTCGTTTCAATGACGAGCACTCCAAAAAATCAGCTGCTCCTATCTGTTCCGCCATTTTCTTCCCTTCTTCAGACGAAATAAAATCCGTCTCATTCCCATTTTGAATGTCCGAATAACGAACTGCCTCTGTGCGCAAGTCCTTTTTCAAGCCCGTTAATATGACAGGAACTTTGGGACAGTACCATTTCAATTCGGTGTGCCATTTGGTTAAAATGTTATCGAAACTTTCGCGTATGTCCATGGAGTAACACAACAATATCACATCCGTGTCAGGGTAGGACAATGGCCGTATGCTGTCGTAATCCTCCTGGCCAGCGGTATCCCAGAGTACCAATTCAATTGGCTTGGTTTCATATGTTAGGTACTTCACGTAATTCTCAAATACAGTCGGCACGTATTCTGAAGGGAATTTTTCGTCTTTAAAGACCATGAGTAGACATGTCTTTCCCGTCGATCCATCACCCACTATGGTAAGCTTGACCCGCTTTGGTTTTGACGAAGTCATAGGTGGATTGATCTAAATAACACAAAAAAACTTGTTGAGATACAAATTAAACAGAATATACTGTATTAAAAGAGTCCGAACGTGCTTATTAAGGCTGATTGCTTACATTTTGCTGTGTTTTTGACTGACAGAATACGATTTTTCTGTGTTGATGATATTATGTACTCAGGTGAATATGATGTTTGTGATGTTACTCTGAGTGTATATCCACACCGGGCAAGCTTGAAAAATAACACCAACGCACAAAAAAACATGATTACTAGATTGCATTGATATCGAAGGAGCTAGACTCAGTTCCGAAATATCACATACTCGAACCGATCTGACCGCTTCGGCTCAGTTGGCAGAGCATTGGGCTAGTATTCCAAAGGTCGTATAGGCGGTATAGGTTCGATTCCCACCGTGGCCAGGCATATTTTTCAAGCTTGCCCGGTGTGGATATACACTGAGAGTAACATCACAAACATGACAGAATATGTTTACTGATATCTTCGGATTGATAGGGATACAACTACCTGAAAAATACAAGGAGAACTTCGACGTTTCGATCGAAGAGCCATTCGACGAAGTGGCTTCGCTTGAAACGTCGACGTTTTCCTTATATTTATCAGGTAGTTGTATCCCTATCAAAACAAAGCGTTCTTATTAATGGCAATACCTATACACTGACACAGATTATATTCCTGATATCTGATAAACAATGACTGCACAGAAAGCGCGATGACACAGCAGTTTAACATCAATTTGAAAGTGTTATCTTTACCGACAGCTGACAAGTAACTAACGAAAGTCATTAGGACTCAGATTCGAAACATGACCAATATATGTAATGTGTAATAAAATTTACTTTATATTATATTATATCCTGGCTATGTACATTGTACTTTCAGTTCAAAGTGAAACAGAAATACTACTATAGTTCAAAATAAAACTAACTAACAGACTTATACATGCAGTTCCTTTAAACATCCACTAATTAATATTGAAACTCCTGTTCCGTATAATACAATATGCATGAATTCTTTGAAACAATAACAAAACGTACATTGAAGTGAAAGTATATGACAATATCGAAAGTGGTTTTTGAGGGCTTCTCGTGTATAGCACTTCACATGTCACATGTGCCCCGGAAAGCATTTTGACAAGAAGTCGTGGGAATACAATGAGATGAAACTACAGCAATATAGGGCTAGTGTTTCAGAGGGGGCTGTAGATGGAAAATTCGCCGAATGAATTTTTCTACATTATCGTGTGAGGTGTCCCAAATCCTAGCATTCCAAAGACCTGATGACATTTTCGCTGTTTTTATTCGGATATTTGAAACAATGTGTAGTGTACATGCGTTCTTTTGAGCAGAATAAAATTTAACCCAATGGTTGCGTTTATTCAATATTCAATATAGACAATTCCCATTATAGACTAATTTTTATCTTGGCAAAAAAAGTATATTCCCTGAAGGAGCATACTAAAATGAGTAAAATTGCAAAGTTTGGTTGCGAAATGTTGAAAAATGCGGAAAATATAGCCTTGCAAAGTTTTCAAATTTTGTATACTTTTGTATTGCGTGCGGAAATTGCTACCCATACCACATTTGGGCTGAAAATGGTAACAATTTCCGCACGCAACACAAAAGTATACAAAATTTGCAAGGTTATATTTTCCGCATTTTACAACATTTCGCAACCAAACATTGCAATTTTACTCATTTTTGTATGTTCTTTCTAGCTGTTGTGATTTATTTGCATCTCTTTGCCTAGTTTTAAAATTAGTCTATAATGGGAATTGTCTATTTGGCAAAAACTTTGACCACATCTCTCTTTTCCATCAAATTATCGGACTGATCTGACCATGTAACCAGGAAGAATGCCATGAGAGTGTACCACTTAGTTATGTTTCAAGTATACATACTTCAGATCCCTGGTGTCTGCCAAGGGATCTAGCCAGAGAGGGACCCAATTACCACCCCTCCTTTTCTAATGTAAAAGTGGGACTTCCTTATCATGTTCACCCCGGTGTAAAGTTTTATCAGACCGCGAGCCAAATACGGTGAATTAGTCGAGTGTACATTGTATATAGGACAGATCATAGTTAAAAATAGACATGACTAATGTGTTGCCATAATTTTCAATCCAGATGCTCGTTCAATGTGCGTTGTACTAGCCAGCATTTTTCTCGCAATTATGAAAAAAACGTCACTAAAATAATGTGTTTACATGTAGTATGTATTATCTACAATTATGCTGCTCAATAGACAATAGATCACTACATGCATGAGTCAACTCACTCACTTCCCTCAAACAATTCTTACAAATCCTTCAGTAACCTATGCAAAATTCCTACTGTGATCACAGAAACTTTGGTATACAGTATACAGGGTGTCCCAAAAAAAACCAAAGCTATTGAAATAACGTATTATTAGAATTTGAATGCCCTAGCTCTAAGCTGGACGCAAAGATGCGTAAAATATTGACAGGGTGCATATATTATAAATATTGACTTATTAAGAAATTAAAGTATCTTTGTAAAGCGCACGATTTTGTGCTCTTGGGAATTTAAAGCAGCTTCTTAAACAGTTTCTTTATGTATAAAATTTACTTATGTCAAGCTTTTATGCACTTGTAGGTTCAGCAGAGTGCTGAGGCATTCAAATTCTAACAATACGTTATTTCAATAGTTTTGGGTTTTTTGGGACACCCTGTATAACTTATAACTTATAACCGTAATGTCCTACGCTACCACCAATATCCCCTTAGGGCTGGACCGGCTGGTTTAAACTACTGTAGTCCAAATGTCTTGAAATCTTGCAACTATATACATTTGTGTGATTCTATAATTTCAGCTCGGTTACATGCAAAAACTGGATTACGTATATACATTATAACCATTTTGCTTAGCCATTTTGTTATATATAGACATGAGGTAAAACCGTTAATCTTGGAGAAAGTTATATGTGTGTGTGTGTATATATATATATATATATATATATATATATATATATATATATATATATATATATATATATATATATATATATATATATATATATATATGCTCTCTTAGTCTTAGATTTGCATTTCGCTGTGGGCGAGAAAACCTAATTTAAACAACAATGCCTGATTCAAATATCAATGAATGACGGCAAGAACGCAATATACTCATCATTAATATTCATATATAAGTTCAGCTGACGACAACAATATCTTAGGAAAACATTTCAGGCCTGAAAATTTTCACTTTTAGTTTTGTTGTTTTAGTATATACCCTTTAAAAAATGAATACCTAAAAATATATGGATTTCTAAACAGAACGCCACACGAATTATGTGTATACTGTTACAATAAATCAATAATATTATCTTATTGAGATATATCGTGTAGATGCGTAGGTTTTAATTTAAATTCTCACTTCTCAGCTATATTATCTTTTTCCTAAGGCTAAATTCTAATGCTTTCGTCTTTAGTAGTTTACTCTGAAGAATTAATGTAACCGTATATGAAATACAGGAATTTTAATATTGGTACTGTGCAATCAATAATACCGATATATCATGCAGATCATACAGCTTAAAATTTAATTCTTATGTTGTTCATGCAATTAGAAAGCTATACTCTAATCGTATCTTAGTGCTATATTCTGTCAAAGCCAGAGCAATTTGGTATTCGTTGTACTTTTTGTAAATTGGCAATGGCAATGCATTTTTACCCTGTGGAACGCCACGGGGAATATGTAGATATATATAGAATAGAATACGCGTTAGAATGATCCCACGAAACCATAGATATGAGACGAGCCATGATACCAATTCTAATTATAAATACATATATATATATATATATATATATATATATATATATATATATATATATATATACATATATGTAAAATAACATCTGTTGCTTGTTATTTTGCAATTTTTTCTATCATATAGCTACTCTTCGTGTAAACTAACCAAGCAAGAAAAATCTTTAACATGACACTGCAATCAATCATTCACAAATATATTTTAGGGAAAACTGACAGTTAAGTCGTAATATTTTCACAATGTGAGTTGTCGTTGCTTGTGTCTGAACTGCCCGAAAAAGATTTGCCCTCTTTCATATTCCAAACGAAGGCTGTTGACTATTTGTCACTGCATGAGCAAGCGGGCAAAAAAAAACTCGCATGATAACCGTTCTGACAACGGAAACTCGAAACATTCAATGTTTTCGGTCTTTTCATGCAGTTCAGACACAGAGCACGACAGATTATCATACACATTTTTAGTTCAAGTTTGAAGTATACGCATGATTTTATATCTTCTCAGAAGCACTGTCCATATATTTATATTAATACTAACTAGTATTCAAACGAGTATAGATTAGTAACATATTATATTTATTTTTAACCAGTAAAATATAGCTACATACCTTATAAGTTATAGATGCAACGCTTCTAAAATAGAGAAGGCACAATATATGTTTCGACTCGAATATCTCAAGATGCGTACACGTCGCCAAATGCTTTCAAAATAATGAGCCAGCTGCCAAAAGATTTCTTTATATAATGACATTGGCGGAAATGACTAAATATAGCTGGTTTTGCGATGAATAATTATCCTCAGTTTAAAATTACGTCATTAATTTTACAGCGATACGCCAAAGAGTTTATCCAACTTCAGCGCGTTATTCGCGCAGACTATCTGGTTTAACCGTTTACTTTTACCATATTTAGAAAGAGTAGGTCGTTAGCTTTCCTCTGATACCTTATTTTTTGTGTAATTGCCACCAGAAATGAAATTCCTGGTAATTTGATGAAATTACGTTTGAAATCCTGCGGGTTGCCGTGTTGAATGACGTATTTTTTATGAGAACGGAAGTCTTATAGTAAAACTTCCCTTCTCAATTCTATAAGTTACACATGTTATAAAATGGTTGATTTGACCGTTAGAAATAGGCTAATATATGTTATAAAGTTTAAGTTACCTGTAACAGGTTTAGAATTTTACCATTGACAAAATGTTTCAAAGTTAGTCAGATAGTTATTACGATTTGTGCCTATAAGGCTAAGGGCTTCCCACATAATATATTTGTCATAAGATTGATAGGCAAAATTGATAGGATTGTTTAGCAAAATGAATACATTTTAATTGCCAGTAGCCTGAAATATTATTTTTGCCATATCTGTAATATTTGATTTATTCTGAAAAAGAAATGTAATACTGCATGTATAGGATGAAAAAACCTCATCCTGTCTTCCTGATCAACCTTTTCACTGTCAAAATTGCCGGACACGACGTCATTAGATGGATTTTAGCAGCAAAAATACAAAGGTATTTTGTATTTCTTCACAAAATTATCCATTTATTGCATGTGACAAATATCATTTAGGATTAGTGGCATTTTAACAACACACGTTTGTAAAATTTTTTTTTT